CCCTGGAGGACGGCCGCATCCTGGGGCTTAGTGGGTTATAAAAACCTGAGAAGGATTTTTGACTGTCCTGGCACCGAGTGCTTTACCCTGTCTCTGCCCAATGTGATTTTTATCTCCGGTTATTGACATAAAGCCAAAGCCATGAATAGTTTGCTGGCAGCGGAGCGTGCTGCCGGCCACACCGTCGTCCCTCCTTAATGCTGAACATCCCCCATTAAAGCCTTAACGGGAAGCAGTCTGTGAAGCAAAGACCCTTTTGCTCCCACGGGATGCTCCTTATGGAGGAGCGAATTAGCCCCCAAAGTCCGCCCCGGATGGGGTTTTCTGGGGTTTGGTGCTGCTTTGGCTTTGCAGCAACTGCTGGTGCCGTGGTCGAGCCCGATAATTGTGTTATCCCCTGTCTTGGATGCTGGTTATCTCCCAGATGAGCAGAGCGTATTTGGTTTTGCCGGGGGGGGGGGTGGGGGGGGGTGGTGGGGTGGCCACGTCTGACGAAGCTGTTAGGTCTCCGTGGAAATGTCATTTCTCCCAGACACAGGGCTTGTGGAGTAAAACTGTTACCAAAAGCAGATGATCAACCAGAAACTGGTCCCACGCTCTTCTCCCGGTCAGACCGTTCCTTCCTCCGGTGAGCACCAGCAAATCGTGGAGGGCAAACCCAAAGTCAAATTCCTGGTGTAAAAACCAGCACAGGGCTCCCTTCCATCTCCAGAAAGCCTGAAGGGTGTGAGCACCCTGTTTTCGCCTTCTAATAACTAAAAATCAAGTTTGGGAGGCTCGAATAGGACCTGTCCCCCAACCCCGTGGGATGCTGCAGGTGATGTAGGGGACAAACATGCAGGGAGCATCACCTTTGCTGTAGGAAGAAGGGAAATGTTGATGAAAAGATGAAATATCAGCCAGGGTGATATTTGTTTCCAGCAGGATCCGTCCTTGGGGACCTGTTGTGCTGGGAACCGAGTCAGGTTCAACCAAACGAAGGCGGCTTTAATTATGCACGGGCGCCAGCAGCGATGGGTTTAATACTTCCACCTAATGTGCCCTAAAGCCACAGCCTTGGTTAATCCGGATTGACCTCCCGTGGTGTGGACGAAAGCGGGAACTTTTGGTACCACGTGGGAAGCAGAGGCTCGAAGGGAGATACCGATTCAGGGAGGAATTCAGGGAGTTTCTGGGGGGAAACCAGAAATTCCCAGAAAAAAACATTTGGCTTACAGCGAAACATTTTATTTGGCCTGTAAACAAAGTCACAAGGTTCTTTTTAAGTCTTTATATCTTTTATCCAAACTTCCTCTCCCCTTTAAAGCTTGGGTCAAGTGACTAAAAAACCCTCTAGGAAACCAAAACTCCCCCCAAAAAGTACTTTGCACGGAGAAAAAAAAAAATCAACTCTGCTCCTTCTCAGCCAGGGGGGCAGGAGGGGAAACTGAGGCACGGGGACACTTTGGTGGAGCAGCTCCATTTCTGCAGCCAGAGTGGAGCTGCTTTTTAGGGGAAAATAAGAGAAACACAAATTCTTTGCAAGCTCATATGGGGAGGAATGAGGGTTTCTAGGTATTTTGGGGAGGGGGGAAAGGGAAGGTCAGACCCATAGGGGATAAAAGAGGGGACATTGCCTGGGGCTCCGGGCAAGGAGATGGGTACAGTCCCTTAAGCTGCATAAACCTTGCTTTTTGGGTATCTTGGAAATGGATCTTGAGGGTATCTCCAAGGAAAATATTAGGAAAAATTCCTTCCCCGCAAGGGCTGTCAGGCACTGGAAGGGGCTGCCCAGGGAAGGGGTCGAGTCCCCAGCCCTGGGGGG